GTAAAAATTTGCTCAACTTTAACTGAATAAATGGTAAAAATTGAGAGTTTATATTTAAAATATAAAAAAATATATCATTAAATATGTATTCTGGTCTATAATTTAAAACATCGATTTTGTGCTTTGTGGATATATTCAAAGTATGCCTATTCAAATATGTATACAAGTAAAGTTTTCATAATTTCCATTATGTATCCTTCATAAGGTACAGAAAATTCATGACTCTGAAGACCCCTTGAATGTTTTCGAGGTAAATTGTCGTTAATGAAATGATGTATCTATATAAAACTGTTTATAATCAACATGACCCAGATGCTGTATTCAGAAACAAAAATTTGTTTTCTTATTCTCTATCTCCATAACATTTCTCTCTCGTTGTGCATAAAGTTCACACAAACGCTAGTATGTTTAACGGACTCGAAACTCGCCATTATCGGTCAATGGCGACTTCCGGACATCCGGGTGGTATAGTGGCGCGTGACCGCGACCACAGTGCCTCCGCAAGCCGCAAACGTGAACCAAACAGAAACCGCGAACTACCGAAATTCCGAGACCCAAACCGGCCAATAAGTCCTGAGGGGTAGATAGCAGTGGCGCTATTGTACCATAGAATGTAGACTGATAATAATATAATATTAATTAATTTATTATTATTTCACGAAAAGCACTTTCAGTTTAACTATTAATGGTAACATAGCTTAGGTCAAAAAACATATTGGACTGTAATAAATTTAATTAAAAAGAGAAAACGGTGATTATATTTAGTTAATGTAAACTTTTTTGAGGCTGGGTTATAATAAATGATATTTGTAATAAATATTAAAATACTATTATATGTATGTATATCCTAAATATAACATAGTGTATAGAAGACCCAATTTTTTTTAATAAAAAAATCGTGCCTGATCATATTTATGATTTGTTTACATTTTTAAGCATATGCTCGGACCTATTTTCATATTATTAGATTGGCATTTCACATCATTTATATTCTATAAAAACAGCGATCTTCATGGCATTGAGCTTTCTTGTCGAAAAGTTGCTACCCCGGTGATGGGGTAGCAGAGAGTAGGTCAGACTTACTTTTCACTTCCAAAACTGAAGTCCACGGCTAAGTAACATGAGTAATATATATAAAAATTATACAATCTTCTATCAAGTACAACTTAGTGACAAATTAGTTCTTGTACAAAAACTAGTAACAAATAAATAAATTATACCAACAAATCAATGTTTTATACAGTCCACAGTTACAAAGAACAATCTGAGTTATCAAAGAAGAGACATCTAAATACGTTTACAGCATAGTTTAAATACATTTTACAATGAAAATATAATTCAAAATCATCAATTATTATACTAATGAATACAATTTATTTAACATGTTTAACCATATGTTTAAGTATACATTTTTTATAGTGGTTCAGATAGTAGTAGTAATGGCTGCTATAATAGTTGTTTCTGAAAAAAATGTAATAAGTATCCATAATAAAAAGTAAAAAGATGTCCGCAGAAAAATTACTCGTACGTTGATAATACAAAATAAAGGCAAGCAAAAAGAATGTAGTATATAAAAAGTTATTTAATTGAATATTAAATAATCAAATAAAATTGGGTATAGCCAGGATCAAATTGATGTATAAATAGATTGAAGCTTTTCAATAACAAAACTTCATCATCAAATGAAATATTTTCTGTCATTCAAATTCCAAAACATCAACAATTCTAGTTTCTACTTGACAGTAGATATTCGTCAACAAACGTGTTATGTGATTTCGATTCAATTACAAAAGCGTTCATTTGCACGGTTGATATTAATCCAACTACGAACAACACATACAGAGCTCGAATCAAAATAATGTTTTGACACATAAGCGTGCACGATAAACGACAGCAAACAGAACATTACTCGACAGATATAACAATGAAACGCGATGACGAAACAGAGACGAATTTAAGTAAAAAAAATTCTAAATAATTTATATATATTTATATAATATTTGTCTTGGTGTCCTTCATCTATTCTCTATTGTAGATTCCTTGATCGGTTTATAATTTTTAATAGAAAACTTATTCGAGAATCTGAATAAATCTCAAGAATTTCTATTGATACTAAGTGAACGATTAAATTAGTAAATTAAAAAAAACGATTAAAAGGTGTATCTGGTACACTGTGTACCAGAATTTAACATCAAGCCGAAACGGGGTAGAAGTATGAACTTAACTGTCCTCAAAGAATTTAGAAAAAAAAATATCTCACGCTGTTTGGATATTATGAGCTTTTAAGTGCAACCTAGAGCTTTGATGAAATAATGACTATTTTTTGGTTATTGTAGTAAAATTTTATTAATTTTGTTCATTTTTAAACTTTGGAATCGTAACCGTGAATAACATTTCTAGGACCACAGTAAATAATAATTATTATCCCAAGTTTTGAAGAATTAAGAATTTTTGTTGAACTTTAATTTTATTATTTATACTTATTAATTTAATTTTTTAACATCGGTGAACATTGATAGGCCCTTCTTTGGAAAAAATCTGCAAAATCTTATTGTTGAAAAATTTTGAGAGAAAAAGAATAACATGAAATTATCACGATCAAATTATTCTTTCTGGCACATTAAAACTTGCCAATATAAAATACATTTAATCTGATTCTGAGTAAAATGGACTATTAAAAATCATGAGATTTTTAGGTGTAAAAAATTATTTTCATCCCCGATTCGCTACTGCGGTGACAATACATATATCAACATAAACGCGATCTGTGACAATATTCTGATGACGATATTCAGAATATTCACATAATTAACACTGTGACACAATAAGCTCGCTACATCGGTTTTAAATTATCTTATCTCCGCATTCAGGCAGTCCGTTTATATTTCGAACCCGGCAGAGAGAGAATGTTTCGGGATTGTTGCTTTGTTTAATTGTTGGATTACGTTTCGCAGTTGCTCCGATGAACTTTGCGGTGAACGGGGTGTGTATTATACAGAGAAAGCGGTTACAAACGAATATTAAATTTCAATATAGGGAAATGATGATAATATAAACGAGCTTACGGTATTATTACGCGTTCGCGGAATGTAGTTGTTACCACATGGAAATGGAATATTGTAATATATGACTGCTGAATGATAAAATTTCTAGATATAAAACATTTATATATGATACTTATGAACAAATGAAAAAAATATTTAACAGTAATCTTGTACTACAAAATAAATTTTATATTCAAACTGGTGTGACAATGGCTATTAATATCATGAACCTATAAATTTCATGCATGCAAATTGCAATATGCAGTTTGAACATGCAAGCTTTCTGTTTTGGTCATAAAAATGAATAATCACGAATCTACTTCTGCAATACCTTTATATTTCAATTAGTTTCTCAGAACCAGAATATAAAAATTGGCTTAATTCTCTCCATGTAAAGATAACAGCATGGCGTGCTAAGATCCATTATCGTGTGCCAACGATTAATATCAAGCATATTTCTCGCAACGTGCTTACGTTAAATAATCCTTTAAAGACTTCCACATTAATAATTATATTCCCGCCGTAAACCGGCGCATGTACAAACTCGCTTTAATCCATATATGAAATTGTATAAAATATAATTACACTATGAGAGATCGATATTGTCGCCGACGATTTAGTAAGTTAGGGGTTGAATTGGGGGAGTTTTATGACATATTAATCCAGTTCACCCCTCGCGAGGAAACTGGCGCACAAACGCAAGCACAGACACAATTAACCGTACAAACAATGCGCGGTTGTTTGACTACGGGGTGGCCGTCTGGGGGATTGACTTTGGCCATAGAACATAAGCTGGACATTAAATAATTTAATTTGGAAATAAAATTAATTCATCACTTTAGATTTATTAAGCATAAAGAAAGGATTAGAACCTGAACTATATAAAATATAAATTTAAAAATTAAAAAGAATTTATTAGGTTTGTTAGTGTTTGTAACTGAAAATTCGCAACATTAATTCGTAGTAAGGAAGTATTATTTTTTTATTATATAATTTTTTTATTTAAAAATTGTAAAACATATATATATATATATATATAAATTACATTTTTTTAATACATAGCATAATTACCATGACCTCAATTATTGATTTGTGTGAATTCACTTTTTTCTATTAAACGATGCGTAGCAGTGCTTTTCGAACAAAAAGTTAAGTATAATAATTCCGTGGGGGCCTTATCTTCGTGATGAGGTTTCCGAGGGTGTATTCACCCTCAAAAACGACAGAAGGATGAGTTATTGTGTGATGAAGCGCGCAGTATTGTTTGTTCATGCGTCGCACGCGTCGTGCGTGTGTAGTGTCAATAACGATGTGTTTGCCCCCGGTAGGCTTGTGTTTTCATTCTGTTGTATTTATCCCTTATACGTGTGTTACCAATATATAAAGTACACATATAGCAATAATATATAATTTACTGTTAACGTAGGTAAATGAAATTTAATACGTTGAGCTTTTTCGCATAGCAAAAAAATTTTGTTTTCACTATTAATATTTTTATAAGGCTATGCTAAATTTGATGGACAAGGAATCTAATGTAAACGGTTAATAATAATAACCTAATAATTATTTTCACTTGATTAGTTTTAAAATATTATATAATTGCCGTGGTATTTATCCCAGATCTTATTTGTTCAACCATTCACACAAAGTTTTATCACGATCCGACAACGACAGAATGGAGGTTGATATGTTAGAGTTTGAACTCGACTGAGTGTTTTCGAGTGGCGACCGAGGTCTCGGCTGAAGTGCACACCGCGGTAAAGTGTCTGGCTCGCAGTTAGAACTGGAAGCCACTTCAAATTCCTACAACACAATCATAGCACACGCGAAAAGGTCGATTTGCCCTTATGCTAGTTGAAGCGAAGACTAATTGATCATTTGTTTCCAATCGGTATTTTTTATACGATAAATGAGTAATGGGGATAGTAATCATAAAACATAATCTCAATCACTTACCAACATTAGGCTTCTCATCAGCTCGGTGTAATTCTGGTTTCGCAAGCATAGATAAAGGATGCTGAGGTCCAGCACCCGCTCCGCCTCCTGGGGCACCTCCAGCTCCAGCAGCACCTGCTGCTGCACCTAATGCTCCTAAACCTAGTAGACTAGCTGCTGCAGCAGCTGAACCAGGAGGTGCTGCAAGACCTGGGTGCGGCATCATAGGTACAGGCGGGGCGGCGTGTGCTGGCAATTGTTGGGCATGCATTTGCTGCAACAATCGTGGCAGATCGGGCCTTTGTTGCTGCTGAAAGAAGAAAATGTAATGTCATTTATAATCATTATATAAAATAGAACAATGCAATATCAAATACGATCTTAAAACTTTTAAATCAGTCTAAACATAACCTTTTTATAAACATGATATCATCATAATTTCAGGTCGGGTTCAAGAATAGTTGGAGAAATTATGCAAAAGCAGTTATAGTGCGAATAAATTCCGTATTATTGCTGCTGCTTAATAATACAGAAGCATGTTAAGATAACACCTGACTCATTTATATGTATGTGCATAAACAACAGAAGGCAAAATATATGGTTCGCGTGCGAATCAAAGTCGTGTAGCTCCACAAACTCCCAGCATTTACCGCGTTTCGCGGAGCGGCTTACATTTCCGTGACTATTATTGTTGAATTATATCCTAACATGCGAGAATTCCAGCCGGATTCCGGGCAATAAAAGAACAATGAAAACCCGCGTCGGTTCATATCACCACCGTCGTTTCAAGCCTCCGAGGTTTTAATATTTCATCACAATACCATTTTCGTCGCGTTCGTGCTACTTGTAGGTTATTTGTTTGAGTGAACGAATCCATTTAGATGCAAAGAGATTAAATACTCACGAGTAAAAGTCAAAGTAATAGTTGATGAAAAGCCAATATAAGATCATACAAAAATAATTGAATGTTGCTACTAATGAAAACGTGCATAAAAAACGTTTTACAAAAAAGCAATAATGAATATGCTTTAAGCCTTCGAAAAAGAATTGAAAATCGAATGATTTATACAGGAATGCAAATAAATCAGGCATCCTGACAAAAAGCGTGAATATCAATTACGCAAATAGCTCTTGCAAGTGCAACAAGTAAGAAACGAGAAGCTCTCTACATAATTGAACTCACTGCAGCGAACAACAAAACTGAAAAACAGTTCGAGAAGACGAGAGAAATTTGTAAGTGCTTTGAGCGAACCTTATTTTTTATTTATTAATTCCGCTGTATCTGTTTATTTTACTGAAACATAATGAAGAGCGGGAGATATTGAATAAAAGCTCAATAAAAAAAGTACTAGATGTTTTCCATATAGGCATTATAGTGAAAATAAATAAATAATCAAATTTAAAAAACTATATAATATATAAATTATAAAAAGTACGTAAAGAATACATTTAAACATGGTTTAGAATAGATATAAAAATGAAATAATCCTTTAATAAATTGATTAATTAATAATCATTTCACATTGAAGTAAAAAATTAGGTAACTATGTATTATATTTCTATTGGTACCTAGGAATTTATAGTAAAATTTATTTATAAGAAAATTATATATCATTTGAAATAGTTCGATGCGAACATTTGATAACGAAGACATGTGTTCCCTTTCGAGCATGCCCTTACTCTTGTTTTGGGGTGGCCTTGCATCCTTTCTCACTAAGCCCAAGGGATTCGACCCTTATCTCGCCGTGGCTCATGCACGGGATTTGGCAACGGGGATTAGAGTTGATGCCGGCGCGTCAGCAAGGGGTTGTTCGTCGAGGTCGAAGCTTCGAGGTATGAAGATATAAAATATAGCCACTACATACAAGACACAAGTTTAGAGTCTGGGTGCCTTATTCCTGTCATGCTCCGTTCACGAACGGACGTCCGGACTAAGTTTTAGAGAGAATTTAGATCATATCACATGTCATGCGGAAACAACAAGGCGACCGAATCGGGGACCCAAGACACGTCACGGACACAGGTCAAGTAAGATTTTATACCTACAGAGTGGATTATTATGTATAAGTAAGAGGTATAAGGGATCACTGGCTGGCTATTTGCATATCATTTATTAAATATTCAATAGAAGGGAGGAAGTTATTAGAACTTTATGTAAATTAAATTGCTTGCCTAGGCAATCGAAATGTAATTATTTCACCGAAATTAAAAACTCATAAATTATTCATAATTTATCTTAGATCAGAATAACTTGATAAAATATTATATTTGGTAAATATTTCGCAGTATCAATAATAAATTTTGTACAGTATACAACATGAATCTACAATCTACAAAACGTATAAATTTATACACGTTATCTCTTATTTATTCGCATGGAATCTTTTATATATGTGTACTCTTATATATAATCAAACTCTTATATTGTACAGGGGTGTCTTCATTCCGAATGCTCGACGGGGGCGCTGAGACCATAACAAAACCAAGCACGAACTTCTCCGTACACAGAAACGTTATCGGGAGATAAAACGCACGGAAAAAGCCTGGAATGGGGCTCGAGGAAAATAGAATGAAAAAAAAAACAACGAGCGACAGATAGAAAGAACCTGAAAGAAGAAAAAGAATAGTACTTTTCCCGCTTTCCCGACGGAAGGCGATCGGAATTCTGATTAAATCCACTTTGCGCCACACGACCGGATGATAAAACCTACTCAGTGATTGCCAACGCGTTACGTTAATTGCTTCAAACTCTAGGAAAATGTAATTGGGTCTGTTTAATTCGACACAATTTATTGAAACATAATATTTCAGATGATTGAAATTTATATTCTTTGAAGAAGGTCATTTTTTGCCTGAAATTATAAATTAATGTTGCCAATGCTTTAATTGTAAATTAAATTTTTTTTAATTAAAGTAGCCTGATGTAAGATAGGTAACGTTTTGAGTAGATAATACATGAAAAAAATGTCATTCACTTTTTTATTACTCCACATCGATAACAAAAATAAGAATCACATAAAAGGAGAAACAAATGTTATATTACCAACAATCAAAGGTTTAATGCGATTTAATAAAATGTTTTATTGATAGCCTTCTGAACTTTTTTACAACCGATGATTAAATCTAATGAAGAGCAATAAACACATTTATTATTTACCGAACGAAACAAGAGTATCAGTGAGTAAAAGTCCATAAAGATCTAATCTAAGGCCAAATAACGTGTGAAGCGACTGCTTCTCGCAAGTGTGTTTCATTATATAGATTATAGACCTACATTTATATACAATATATACGTTGAAGTTATATCTACAATCAGACGCCGGGAATAAATTACCATCGTTGGTAGATCGAAACGATCAGGGCGATCAAGAAAGACGATTACGGTATTGCGAATTCATTAGCGCAAAGAGAGATGAGAAACGCTCGCAGAACACGAAATGCAAAAAACAACATCAACCGGCAATAAAAGAAAAACATTGTATCGTAAATCTAGATACAGGTGAAAAATAAAAAAATAATCATATAAAACAACATGCGGCCGACACTGATGATATCTATACACGCGGTAGTTTATAAAATATTCAGCTTTGAATAATGATGACCTGTGGATCGGAGTATGACAAATCGCGCTCATCATTATAAACAAAATTTATAGGAGATTATTATCGTAATTATACTTGGAATTTTAGTCACGATAAATTGAAATATTTATGATAATCGCACGTGTGGCGCGTCTTCGATCATTTGCTGTATGATGGGGCATTAGATATTAAAATAGAAATGAATGATATTAAATTTAGAGTAAAGTTAATATTCTGTGAAGAAAAGTGAAGTTCAAATAAACGTTGTTAAATAATATTTTAATGAAACGTCCTTATAAAATACTTGTTATCACATAAAATGAAAGTTTTTAAATACACTTACTATTCAACATATTAATCGGTCTATAAATTTCGTCTTAATAAATCAAGGCAAGCAGATCCCATTTATAAAATAATGCACCCATATAAATTTGCTTAAATATCCGCTCAATTTGAATGATATATAGTCGCAGATATATTTACATGAGGACACACAACATTTTCTGTTGAAAATACTGTCACGTTTAATTTGGTTGACAACGTTACAATGCTTTATTATAATGTAACATATCATATGTCAGAGCATCGGGATCGGAGCCAAAATCCTAGATTAATAAGACCTCCACTTACTTTCGTATTGGGAGTGAAACAGTCAAACGAATTGGCACTATTCCAAAAGATAATCTATTTATCTGCATGACGAATTATATCTGTTGGTATATATATCTACAGAATGCTTTGAGCTCTAATATCATCGATATTATACATAGACGGCTCTGCTTTCATAACCCGAATTTCAGAGCACAGTGCTAATTTCGTAATAATTTACTTGATTTGACATAAGCCTCTGCGATAATACTCGATGATGAATATTTGAATAATACTATTAATAATTCTGTTGAATCTCTACCAGCGAAGATATTCCTATAAACAGACAATTTTAAGAATCTTCAAAACAAAACGAAAAATCTGTCATTTGTGATTAGCCTTTGTTGTTTCTTTTCATGTTATAGTTTAAAATTATATATAAATATGTATATATATATATATATATATATATATATATATATATATATATATATATATATATATATATACTCTTGTATCTTGAATATAACAAATCTCATATTAAACGATTAATTCTAAATTATTCTATTCAAGTGTCAGAACAACATAAAATCACACGTTCATCACATTTGAAACAATTGAGAAAAATAATAGAATACTTATTTCACACGTCCTCATGTAAATTTCCAAACTTATGTATAAATTTACAATTTGCTGCCAAATTATTATTCATAAAATTCTTGAAATTTGAATATTAACTAAATACGATGTAAATCATTCCGGTAGTTATGTTTGTAAACGAATTTAAGCATCCATCATAACTGTTAAATTATTAATTTCAGTAATTAATTTCTAGCTTGTTAAACACACATGAATAATAAAGTTTCTTTCAAATTTATTCAGAGTTAGAAAGATGTTATCGAACATGAATAAATTAGATTCTTAAATGCGTAGAAATAGCATGTGAAATAAATCTCATATAAATGAAAAAGTGAAAATTTAATTATGCATAATATTATATATATATATATATATATATATATGTACACAATTACACTCATATATATATATACAATAATGAGCAATAAATAAACAAAAAATCATTGAATGTTAAATTGATAACTCATAACCTACTACGGTGGAGACGCCATGTACAATCTCATATAACTAATTTATATTTTAGCATGAAAATATAAACAATTTAAGAATTGATTTTTATAAATATGGTTATATGATGAATCATAATAAAATTATATCGTAAAATTTAATCAGTTTCTTTTCTTTACTTTCACCAATTTTATATGATATTATAGTTCTAACACTGTTGAGCAAAAATCCATAAGTCAACTTTGTATATTTGATTTTTAATTGTCAATAAGTGAATTATATAGATAGGTTTGTAATTAAAAAATTAAATTATGAATACGAATGATATTATTTCATGATTTTAACATATGGTTTCACTACAATATAAAAATAATGATTGAAATGTTGTTTATAACGAACAGAGATTATGAATCAGATGTTAAATAGAACAAAAAATATTCCACCCTATATCATAATAGTAAATACAGCAAAAATAAAAATCTAATTTGCAAACAAATTTACCTTGCACGAACTCTGACTTAGTGTGAAAGAACAACATAGCAAAAAAGAAAATAATAACCAAGAACACGAAAATGCATCATAAATATTTTAAAACATAATTCACAGCGGCCGTGCGAAATGGCATGCCGACAAAGTTTCATTATAAATAGTTCAGAAAGCGAATGGGCGGTAACGAACAACGCGTTGCCAACTTATCGCCTCGGGCGATCGGGGAACCGCCAACAGTTTGATAGATGATAGATTTCACATCCAACGTATTAAATACGTATTATGTTTTAGTACATACAGAATTATATAATAGATGCAAATGATGTTGTTTGGTTTTATTAATTAATTCAATGTCAGGTGTTGGCAAGTGCTGTTTACATAAGTATTACTAGCTATGCTATAGTGAACACAATTGAGAAATAGAGATATATAAATATTTGACTTAGGTTTGCGTGGGTTTGCAATTCTTTAGACCGTTTCAAAACAAAGAAACGTTGTTATCTATATAATTGTATGTCAACCAAATATAAATGAAAAACTCTTCAAAATAATTAAAACATATAGAGCATGTATTAAATTATACCAAAATAATTATGATATGATGCAATATTTAAATGTTAATTCTAAAAACACTTACCCCAATTATTGTATTTAATTCTGTCATTGTGACTTGTTTTGCTCTATCGACAGCAGAGGCAACTTGTTGTTGATGCTCTTGCGCCAGATATGGAACTATTTGCGCAATAATAGCATTCAGTCTTTTTGCAATTTCGGTCTGAAAAGATATACCACAAAATTAATATAAAGCTTGTTAATTTATTTGAACAAGCAATTATCTCTGCGTGCATTAATAAAAGTCGATTTAACGTTTGTAAATTATGCAAATCACATACATTTCGCATTATGATCAATTCGTAAACGAAGCGAAAATTTTCTCTTTTATTTATACAAATATAATTGCATACGCTTTATTGCATTTAAATAATACATGTTTTAAAATTATCCCACAGAACTGTTGCATTTATGCATCAATGAATTCATATATAACCATGTTGGAAAATGAATACACCAATCGATGTGAAAATACTGAAAAACAAACGTTGGAAATATCGAAAGCATTGTTATTTACATATTGTTTATAGATGCCGATGTGTCGCTTTTTTGTGATTTACTGATTCGTACAGGGAAATTAACAATTATTTTAAACAGAGGATTTGTTTTTGTTGAATAAATTATTAGTGTCCAAACTATTCATGAATATGAAATATCAACTGAATTATATAACGAGAGAGATTTTTATAAAGCGTCACAAAAAACGAAATAAGCTGAAATCAACGATATGGATACAATGTGGAGTATTTAAAAATATTATTCCATAAGTTTCTAAATTTTATATATGATGTATATTATAATTGTTCAATATATTTATCTTAAATAATTCAATATTATTAATAATATATGAAATTTATGTCTTTAAGATTTGAAATATTAATTGAACAGAAATTGTGTTTTTCAAACTTTACACTCTTATGCAATTAGTAAATAAAAGAACTAAAAAATATTAAACACAAGTAAAATGTTATTATATGATAGAAAACAAACACATATCATTTATAGAGGCAGAACATTAAAACTGAATAAACAATTTACAAAATTGAGCAAATTTTGCTCTATTTACTCGTTTGTTTGTTTATTAAGCAAATATTCGCAATGGATTTAGATATGACATCAATGTTAAATATACTAATTGCAAACAGTGATGCTGCTTTATTCTCTACTGTTGGCAATTATTTTATAAATTCGTACTGACATACTAACATGATGTGCAAACTTGTAAATACTTCTATGCCACAAATATAACTGTGCAAATATTTGCATACGAGATGCGTCATTTTTCGACGTCACATTGAATGATAGCTGGTTTTATTTACCCAATATAATTGTTTAAGAAATATTAATTGATTCTATATTGATGGATATATATTTTCACAATGGTTATTATTTTGTAAATAGACTATATGTCATAGACTTAAACAGATTATCAAATTTCTAATTTTAGCTAAAATGATACACAATACTTTTCAAGATACAATGAAAATCGCAGGATTTATTATCAATATTGTAGACAATTACACCAGTATAAACTTAGTAACAAAATAAGCTTAGTCTTGAATATTTACGAGTAAACTTTAAATAGTGAATAAACATCAACAACATTGATAAAACATCAGCAATATAAAGAAATATCTCTTCCGTTTAAAAATTAATCTATGGGCTTTTAAAACAGAATACATTTATTATGAAAGCGCCACTGTCAGAGAGAACATCTCGAGTTGTCTGAAGTACACCAGAAGCATTGAAGAGCTTCGGTTTGAGTCATACGTTCAAGTGTTTGCCTTGCTCTTAAGCTTCGCCGGGGTAAGAAAAAGTAAAAATAAGCGAGGAAATAAGATCGTACGCCCCTGACAGTACCTAGAGGACTTTTGGCAAATAATACTTTTCCTGAATAAATAGGTGAATGAACGCCAAAGTTCCGAGTGATATATAATTGAGATACTTAGACAGATAGGCACTCTCACTCTCACACTCACTTGAACTTGAAATGTGCATTGTTGTGTTCATTACAAAAACATTACGAATTGATAATACAATTGTATGTATGTAAACTTCATTTCATTTTAAACCTAACACGCGTTTAGCTCGCGACCTCCCCACTTTATCGGCTTTAATGGTAATTTATGTTAATCAGTCATCGCGAGCCAGATTATAACACGAGACCGCTACTAGAGCGGCGTGTTTATGTCTCCATTAACAGGCGCCATTGTTTCGCTATTATGTTGAATTATACTTGAATGGATTTTTAAAATTAGGCTACATACCCATGTACACCAGAAGAAATGAAATTTTGACGTCGTAGAAGAGTTTAGGCAAAAATCGTTGGGGAGAGACTACTGATAAAAATCACAAATGTGTTTTAACCCTTTATCTACTACTACGAGAAGTATTGACTAAAATTCTCAAAAATTTAACACAAGTGATTAATTTAAAAGCTAAGGCAAATACAACATGTCGTTCATGGACAACTTTGTACTGTTGTTAAGCTTGTTTTTCTCGAGAACTACTTATATAACACAAATTATACGATAAGTATAATTTGTAAATAATAATAATAATAATAATTGTGTATAGTTATTTACATTAAAAATTAAATCTACATCTTATAGATTATAAATATTGTAGTAGAAAACGTCTAAATAGATGTAATGTACATCCAAATTATAAACTAAGTGTAAACTTTAAAAATTATTTATTGTTCAAAAGTTAAAACATTGCAGTAATTGGTATAACACGATTTATAATAATATTTATATTATATCATATGATGATTAATTTTAAAACAATTTTACCATTTGAATCCCCGCTTGATTTCACATGTTTCATAAATATTCTGTATTTATGATTTTTTATCAATAATTCAGTTAAATATTTATCGATCATTTCTGTCTGTGTGCTTAAAATCCTAAAAATGTGATCAAAATTCATTTTGACATGTTTGAAAAACATTTTGAATATCAATTGCCCGCATACACTTCATTATCATGTTTATTATTAAGTTTTACGAATTCGATGACAATTTGGTATGCAAATCATTCGAATGTGTAATAATATATACAATTATGTTGGAATTTTGCCAATAATGCGTGTAAAATTCTGAAGGTCGGTCAGTTAATATAAAATAATAACTAAATAACATTGCTGGGTATGTGTTAAATAAAACAAATATTTTAATTATGAAAATAAACAGAAACAAAGCGAAATTAATCACAATATTATAGTGTACTAATAGTATTTTTTCGGTATAACTTTAAAACTATGTTTGTAATAATAGTATAAAATGTAAAAATACACATTGACCTTTAGTTTCTCATACTAAATCATTTTTTTTTTAAATATTCCAAGTCTAAATATTCTGAAGTAAGTGGGAGGTGGAATTTTAGTGATTTAATAGCTCCTCATTTTGCAATGAATATCATTTTTTACATGATAAAATGCGGTAAGTGAATCATAATCGCAATTCGCAATAAATAGTAATTTGAATCACTTATAATTGCAAAGCACGCGTGATATTGCAATAGTAATTATATATTTACATTAATGGAACACAATTTCATAGAATAACAAATTAAGTCAACCTATCATATTAGTCATTGATAAATAATGAATCAAACAAAGGTAAAATAAGAGTTTTAATTTAATTATGCAATTTAAATTAATATTTTATTTTATTCATTAAAATCGGTAATCAAATATGAGATAAAATATTCCGCCTATAACAATATTTTTCAATCATCAATCATATACTAATTATACATGAATAATTTATTATTGGGTTTAAAATAACTTTTATTAGAGAAACAAATAAATTATTCAACAATTTAAAATGTTAATAATCCCTGGTTTTTGCTATGCAAACTGCCAATTTGAATTAATTAAGACCCCGAAGGCAAACATGTTTAGTAATCGTGAAAGATATAATAATCGAGAGAACATATGCAAAAAGAACTATGGAAAAAGCTCGGTCACTGACTAGATAATGTTTTTAATCGATTAAACGAGTCCACGAGGCGCTCTATCTGTATAATTAAAATACGACTTAACAAATATATAATCAGTAATCCGTAGTATAAGTAATTGATACCAATCAACAACTATCGATAAGAATAGAAAATAGAAAAAAAAATTGATTTCTGTTTTTGTATCAACTAGTTAACTTCCCGTAGGGTAAGTTATAGTAATCGTCCAAAAATCGGAATTGAAAATTTTTACATTTCTCGACGTTTTGAAGGTTTCTGAACATTTTGGCATACTTCAGAAAAAATGGATGTGTGTGTGTGTGTGTGTGTGTGTGTGTTTTGTATGTCCGCTTTTTTTCGTCCACGTTTTCGGGCGCACGGATCAACCGATTTGAATGGTTTAAAAAACATTCGATTCCTATTGATAGGGAGATGTGCTGATTAGTTTTTGGCAAAGGCAGGTCCAGCCGTTACGGAGATATGGAGCAAAGAGTGCAAAAAATAGAAAGCGAGTTTTTAAGAGAACGGATCAACCGATTTGAATGGTTTAAAAAACATTCGATTCCTATTGATAGGGAGATGTGCTGATTAGTTTTTGGCAAAGGTAGGCCCAGAGGTTTCGGAGATACAGAGCTAAATTTAAAAAAAATTGCTGTTTTTGAGAGAACTAAGCGTCCGATTTAAATGATTCAAAGAACTTTCTGCTTTTTTCAACAAAATAATTGATTTTGGAAAAAAAAAATTTTTGTTTCTAATTTTTTTTTCAAAAAAATTTTTTTGTAATTTTGGATTAAAAATTCAAAAAATCACCCAAGCTAAGAACAGTCTAAGCGCCACTCTGGTACAAATGTTTACCCATGTGCGTTTAGACTGTTTGTGTACTGGAGCACTTTTCCAATTTTGTGAAAATTATTGAAAAATGTGAAAATGCCGCCAAGCTGAGCACAGTATAAGTGAAAATGTCGCACAGAATTATTTGCAAATGCGTTTAGACTGTGACTATGCGGGAGCACTTTTTCAATTTTGGGTAAATTTGGCAACTATTTTTTTTTTTTGGAATTTGATTCGAAATGAAATGACGATTGTTAAAGTTCTGGAGATGATAAATTGATTTATTTATAATTAATTTTCCATAGGGTAAGTAATCGCAAAAAAATCGAAAATGAAAATTTTTATATATCTGGTATGGTTTCTGAATATG